GCGGAGTGATATTGGGATATGATCCTTTATGCTTATTTTGTGCATTTTGTTCCTCCTATATGAGATGGTTTTATAGCATTGCACTTTGTAATGGTATCTGATAAGCTTGCGGGACGGTTCTCTCATTTAGTGCTCCCTCCATCATTGGTTACCTTCGAGTTGTTGCTTTTTTGGTGCACGGATTGCGTGGTATGTGACTCTTGGTAGTATTGGTGTGGCATGTCGGCCGAGCAGCTATACTAGATGATCTAAGATCATTGGACCTGGAATTAGTGCGATCAGACTTGGATGAGGTATGTTGGGATAAAAATATCATTGATCAGCTTGGAGCTTGGGTTGGTTATTGTCAGGTGAGAGAACTCAATGACTTGTTGATTGGGTAAGTGGTTATGAGTTTCCACGTGTTTCTTTCATCATTTGTAGTGTTGTGAAGGTTTAGAACAAGGTTCTAGCTGATATGAGGTTAGCTATCGGTATCGGGTTTGGTAATGGGCAATTATTGGGGTCAGTGATGTTGCTACGGGCATATGAGAGATGAGTTACATCATGTATTTATACCTTGTGGATGTATTTATGATTTTTTATAGCTGGTTGAGGTTGATACAATGTGTATATGTGAGAATCAGGTCTTAGGAGTAGGCTTGGACGTCGAAATTTAGTTCTAAGGCTTATCAATAAGGGTGGAAGGAATAATCTTCAGTCGAGATGGTGTTAACGGGCTTATGTGGACTTGGGTTATGTGGTATCACTCATGGGTATGTGTATGGTAAGTTTATATATAAGGAGCGACTCTTGGCACGTTCGAGGATGAAGGTTTATTTAAGAGGGCGAGAATGTAATGACCCGATCGGTGGTTCTGAACTTTAGCGTTCTGTTGGTTTGAGGTCTTGAGTAGCTTCATATGATGTATCACGACTTGTGTGTATGGTTGGTTTCAATGTTCGAGAGGTTCGAGGTTTATTTGGAAGAGAATTCTCAATTTGGAAGCATTAAGTTGGAAGAGTTGACTGAGGTTTGACTTTTGTAAGAACGACCTCAGAATGGTATTTGATGATTCCAATAGGTTCTTATGGTGATTATGGACTTAGGCGTATGCCCGAAATTATATTCAGAGGTTCCTAAGTTGATTTGGCCTATTTTGCCGAAAGTTGGCAATTTGAAGGTTTAGTATTTTTCTAAGTTTGACCATGGGTTGACTGTGGGTATCGGGTTTGGATTTAGTTTTGGAACTTGTAATAGGTCCATATTTTCATTTGTCACTTGTGTGCAAAGTTTGGTCTCATTCCGAGTTGGTTTGATGGGAATCAGACGCTTGGTTGTGATTTTGGAAGGTCTTGAGTTTCATTATGATTTTGGTGCATTTTGGTGCTCAATTCGTGGTTTTATATGTTATTTTGATGATCCGAGCATGCGAACGAGTTCGTATGAGGTTTATGTACTGGTTGGTATGATCGGACGGGGTCCCGAGAGGCTCAGGAGAGTTTCGGATTGTTAAGCTAATATTTAGTGTGCTAGTTCTGGTTTCCTCGTATGTGCGATGAGGAGGCCGCAAATGTGACCATTGCATTTGCGAGGGAAGGGTCGCAATTGCGACTCTAGGCTGCTGGGAAGGGACCTCGGATTTGCGAGGGTTGGGCCCCATTTGCGGCTGTTTGGATGTTCGCTTTTGCGAGCTTGTGCAGCGCTTTTGCGACTGGTCGCCTGGGGAGGGGGTTTCGCATTTGCGAAGCGATTTCTGTTGGGTCTGTCAGGGGTCGCTTTTGTAAGCCTTTGTTCGCTTTTACGGTGGTCGCATTTGCGAACCCCTGGTTGCAAATGCGACATCTACCGCTGGGATATTAGTTGGGATTTCGGGTCTTAGTCTCATTTTATCACATTTTTAGCCCTAGACTTAGTGCGAGACGATTTTTGTGGAGGGGATTTTCACATCTAAGTTATGTTGACTCTATTTCAATCATTTAACTTGATTTCTTATAGATTTTAACATCAAAATCATAAGATTCGAAAGGAATTTTTGACTATGTTTTAAAAAATGAATATTTGAGATTTAAGAGCCGAATTGGACTCGGATTTGAAAACCAAAAATATATTTGGACTCATGAGTTTATGGGTAGTTGGGATCTATTCTTTGACTCGAATTTTGACCGGGCGAGCTCGGGGTTGACTTTTGTTGACCTTGGAAAAATATGTAAAGATCTTAACTTTATTAATTGAAATTGAATTCTCTGGCAGTGTTTGATGTTATTAAGTTATTTGTTGGCTAGATTTGGGCCGAACGGAAGTGAAGTTTAAAGGAAAGTCTATTTTTAAGTGTTGATTTAGGCAGTTTGAGGTAAGTATCTTGCCTAACCTTGTGTTGGAAAAATCCTTATGTGTGCCTTATGTCCGGATTGACCCAAGGTTGCTTTCATTGCTTTGTTTTATTTGAGAGGTCCCTGTACTAGGTGTTTCTCACTGTGGAAAATTGCTTGAGTCTATGTTCCATGTTAAAAAATCATGTTTTAGGATCGTATTTCCTAAACTGGCCATGTTGGGCATTTGTAAGATTGTTACTGATTTGAGTTGGCTTTCATGTTTATATGTTGAACACCCAATTGTATTTCCTTATTTAATTTCCTTGTGCACTGCGTTGTCAGATTGTGAATTTATGTCTTGGTGACAATTGTTGGCATGCTATGTTGTTGTGATTGTGGCACATGTGGACTTGTTGGACGGATTGTTCGGGTGTTTGCACGAGGTTTCTGTCGTGCTATTGTTATTATTGATATTATACATGTGGCGTGACAAGGCGGGTTATATCTGTTTTGTACATCTGGCGAGACAAGGTGAGATGAATTGTTAAAACACGTGTAGTGAGACAAGGGGCATTTACTTTATTGTTGCGCACGCGGTGAGATAAGGATGACTAAGTGGGGATATGTGATGGCCTGAGGGCGCTTATTGATGATGTTTGTGGGATGATTAAAAAAGAATTATTCTTATTTGTACTTATGACTTCTTTATATGTGTCATGCATTTAAACATGATTTGTTATGTAATTTATAACATGTCAATCTACGCTTATGTTATTACTTGATGATTTGGTTGCCAAAATGGATGTACCTACGTGAAATTGTTGACATGCATTACTCTATTTGATTTCTTGAAAAGTTCTCATGATCATGTTATTTGACAAATGATATGGAATCGGGCTATTTGTGGCATGAGGTCTTTGTCGTGCGGGTGTGATTTATATTATGGCACGAGATATTTGCCGTGCGGGTGTGATTTATATTATGGCGCGAGATATTTGCTGTGCGGTTGTGATTTATAATATGGCACGAGGTCTTTGCCGTGCGACGGTGATCGGTAATGTGGGCACAATGTGCCATAAGAGAATGATTCTACTTGATGACTTGTTGATTCAGCCTTTATCTGTATTAAATTGTTATCATCTGTTCGGATGAGATTACAGTTATTGCTTCTTGTCATTCTTCCTGTTGCTAGTCTTTGATAACTTTGCACAGGTTATTTGACTAGTGAGTGTCTTGATTTGAACCTTGTCATTACTCCACCGAGGTTAGTCTTGATACTTACTAGGTACCGACTACGGTGTACTCATACTATGCTTCTATACATTCTTTGTGCAGATCCAGGTACCTCAGATTGCGCTGGTCGATAAAGAGTGGGTCAAGCTGTTGGATACTTCAAGGTATACTTGTTGTTCCGCTCATAGGCCTCAGAGTCACCTTCTATTGTTTCGCTTCTATTGTTTATTGTATTCCAACCAATGTTGTAGTTTGAGACTTATTATGTACCTCTTGTAGAGTTTATGACTTTGTATTACCGGGTTTTGGATTGTGATTATTGTATTGCTATATTAGCTATATGTTTTAGGCCTTTTTCTCAGTTTTATTTAACATTGAGGTGTTATATTCTGTCTGATGTGTCGTAGACTTACCTAGTCTTAAAGACTAGGTGTCATCACAATGCTTAAGCTGAGATTTTGAGTCGTGACAATTTGACCTAGCATCATAACATGATTTCCTCCTTTTATAAGTGACCGAAGTTGTTTTCATTGCCGCCGAAGTCTGGTTGACAGAGGAGTTTCAAGATTTTAGTGGCAACTATGAAGTCGCGGAGGAGGCATAATGGGTTTCAGAATAAGAAAGCGATGGAGGAATGGATGGGATGATAGAAGTACAGTGCTTATATGTTAGGTGGTGAGAAGAAGTTTCGGTGGAACTGGTGAACCACGCGAGCTGGTTAGATGCGTGGGATAGAGGACTCGTGATACGTTGGAGACTTATAAAAAGGGAGAAGATGATATATTATCCAAAAATTAAAATAAGTTAAATAAATTTTGAATAAACTTTGGACACGTGGGGTCAAATATAGCCTAGACACAAGTTTTTTACCTGCTCACGTGCCTATTTTGTGTGGAAAGTTACAAAAGTAATGTATCCTAGTTGATTAAGGGCTCGTTTGGTACGTGAAAAAAGAGATAATTAATTCCGAAAATAAATTTGAGATCAATTTATCACATATTTGATTGGAATAAAATCGCAGTATAATTAATTCCAGTATTAATTATCCAGGATTATAGTGTTATTTTTATTCCTATGAGAGGGTGGAATAATAATCCCGGAATAATTAATCCGGGGATAACTTGTTACCCAATCAAACGACGCTTAAGAGATCATTTGGTACGAGTGATAAAGGATAATTAGTCCAGGATTAAATTTGAGATTAGTTTATCTCACGTTTGGTTGGGATAAAATCATGGTATAACTAGTCCTGGGATTATTTATCCCTGGACTACAGTATTTTTTATTTTTATGAGATGATGAAATAAATAATCGCGGGATAATTAATTATGAGATAACTTATTTTCCAACCATGAGATAACTTGAAGAGTAAATTATGTATTGACTCTTATTTACCGAGAACGTTTTTCCTTTTATCATTTTTATCAGACCCCTAGGTATTTGAGCCACTTCCTTTGGGGAAAAAAAAGAATATGCGAACAATTCTTAGCTAATGGATGGGTGGTCCTAGTAGAGGACGAAACAACACAACCACACTCCCCTCACCAACACATCCGTTAATTGACTGTAAACCTATAAGCTGAAAATATTTTGGCATCCTCCGAGAAAGTGGGAAGTTCTGATTTGAGCATTACAATTTCTTTACATCTGAAAAACTATACTATATGACCGCTTTGCTCTCTTTCCCAACTGTTCCTTCCTATGTACTACCTACTAAACCATTTCCAAGAAATAATCTTTCAACACTAGTTCCTCGAATGTCCTTGTCTTCCTCAACTTCTAACCAACAGATTAGGTAATTCCGTTTTTCATAATGTTTTTAAATGTTAATCATCTATTGATTATCCTTTGAACTGGTCTTTTAACACGCCTCTCTGTCCATTGGCATTGGGAAAGTCTTGGTTACCTTTTTTCTTAATTTTGCTATAGCCATTATTTGTTTTATTTCTGAGGTTGCTAATTTGTGCAATTATTTGTGATTACTTAGTAAAGTGACCGACTAGTGTAAACATTTTATAATTGTGATATATAAAAGTTAAAGGGACTTTTACCTATAGATACAAAGTTAGGCCCTAATTTGGTGGTTTAGCAAGATGGTTTAATTTTCAAAAAGTAGCAAGAGTTTTTTAACCAAATTTATACAATCCTGTAAAAACATACACCCTTCGTTTAAAAAAGATTGGCATTATGTTCTTATTAGTCTGTTTCAAAAAGATTGACACCTTTCAATATTTTATTAATAAAAAGCATTTATAGTCACGCAAATGTTATGACACATTTAAGACCACAAACTTCAAAAAGTTTTAAAGTCACACAAATGCTATGGCTTATTTAGGGCCACATATATCAAAAGCCTTCCCTTTTTTATTAAGTTTGTGGGTCAAACTAGGACAATCTTCTTGAAACGGAAGGAAAATAACTTATTAACATACAACTCACATACAATTATATTATTGTATATATATTACCCAGTAAAAACATAAAACCTGCATATATTGTGTTGTTGTATGTATTCCATATATCATTTATATGTATTTTGTATGTCGAGTGTATGAATGTCCAGGGATATATCCATACCACCCGACATACATCCGACAAACAACTATTCTACCACCGGACCACCATTCAAAAAACCACCATACTAATCACCATAAACCATCATCCTTTAAACCTTTTGTGGAGTGGTAAGTACTCCATAATTTTTAATTAGAGATCTTGGATTTGAGATCTAGATATGGAGTCTCCTTTGAAAGGGAGCGCTTTACCCATCAATAGCTGCTTCCTCACTTACGCTGCCATCGCCATGAATGACGCTCAAGGCTACAACATTTAGTTTTCCATCCTTTGACTCTCTCTACAGTTATGGGCAACATCTAAGTTGCTATGTATTGAAAATCTTGCTATGTTAGTTAATTAAGTGCAAGTGTCCCTAATAGTAGGCTTCCAATTTTGCATATCTAGGTAAAATTTCCAAAGTTAAACTCATTGTCAAAACATCACTGGATGGAAGGAATATCTAAATGAGAAGTATGCTAATGAACTTCCTCATTCGAGAACGAGGTGCAAGTCTCATGGGAGTATAGCTCATCTAAGCACGATTTAAGTGAAACAAAGATTGCAGCTAGTCGCTCGATCCAATATGCAATATCATATAGCATGTCTTTCCATAATTATTGCAACTTGTGTATAGTTCAATTTACTGCAATATCATGTACTCTAATACTAAAATGAGTTTATAGAATATTTTCTAGCATCTATGTAGAGTGGATTTTCTGTACGGCATTGTTTCAGTTGCTGAATGTCCCTTTTCTGTGAAGCAACAAATGTGCATTGCCAGTTGATGCTCCATTGAAAGCAATATTATTTGACATTGATGGAACGTTATGTGATTCGGATCCTATCCACTACTATGCCTTCCGAGAGATGCTTCAAGAGGTTGTATTTTCTACTTATTGCATCTGTTGTTATCAGTTCCAACTCTGTACAATGAAGTCAAGGAGATAGTTCTTCATTTAACTAACAGTTTTCATTTCAAACAGATAGGTTTCAATGGTGGAGCACCCATAAGTGAGGAGTTCTTCATAAAGAATATTAGCGGTATGCATAATGATGAGCTCTGTCACGTCCTTTTCCCGGATTGGGATTTCCAAAGAGCTATCAAATTTATGGATGATAAGGAAGACATGTTCCGAAAGTAAGCTACTGCAAAATTAATAAGTCCATTGATCAAAATGAAGTATATGTCATATAACAATTATCATTAGATCTCCCTGTATATGATTGATAAATTGCATGATTCAGATCAGGATCTAGCTCAATTGCATAATGTTGGGCTCAACCAGTCTGGAGATATTCTTTACATGATGTGATAGACCAAGCTCGTACGATTTTTTCCAAAAGGTTTCACCCTATTAAGAAATCCCTACAACTTATATGTAGTCTCCCAATCTTTTCAGCTACAAATGTGGGACATTGTTCGCACACCTAACACATAATGTGGCGGACTAGGCCAATTTTTATGTTTTCTTTTATAGAACCAGCCAAATTATATTAAATAGAGTAGACTCGGTTGCTATAACATTTGGAAACTAATCATAAAAATGCACAGAATTGCATCAGAACAGCTAAAACCATTGGACGGCCTTGAGGAGGTATGCAAATGGATTGAAGACCGCGGTCTGAAACGAGCAGCAGTGACTAATGCTCCAAGAGCGAATGCTGAGCTGATAATCTCAATGCTAGGCCTTGCAGATTTCTTTGAACTACTTGTCATTGGAAGCGAATGTGAACGAGCAAAACCTTTTCCTGACCCTTACTTGAAGGCACTTCACGAACTTGGAGTATCTCCTAAGCACGCATTCGTGTTTGAGGTTTGTAATACACATTTAACACTAATGATAGCCGTTGGTACATAGAGATTGATAATCAACTGCAATATGTTTAATTTCGATAATTACTCCTATCTTTCACTGAGTGTAGGATTCTATCTCTGGAATAAAAGCTGGAGTAGCTGCTGGTATGCCGGTCGTAGGTTTAGGTCTAAGGAACCCCGAAAAATTACTGTCAGAGGCTGGTGCAACATTTGTTATCAAGGATTTCAAGGACTCGAAGTTATGGACAGCTCTAGAAGAGTTGGAAACAGAAAAGGATGCAGAAAAAATGAAAACTTGAGTTGGACGCAGAGTGATGTAGAATGTTGTATCACCATAAATTGTTCTTTGATTGAACATCTATATGAAGTTCAATGTGTTCTGTTACATGTCCACCTTTATTCATCACCTCATGCTGAAGTTTGCATGATAAGAGTAGTATTTGTTTATTTTAGTTGAGTTGTCTTTATAGCGAAGTTCAATGATTTAAGTTATATACGCTACAGTGAAAAATGTACACTAACTTGTTAGTGTAGTTTAACTTGCTATAGTACGTTAATTTCCAATTTTACCAGGTTAGCATAAGGGTGTACTGTGGGCCGGGCCTAGCCCGGGACCGGCCTGGGCCCGGGCCCGCATGCCAAATGGGCCGGTTCAAACGGGCCGATCTCTTAGTGGTGCAAAAGCCCATAGAGGGCTGGTCCTGACCAAATAGCCCGTGAGCCCGGGACCGTTTAGCCCGGGACCGGCAGGCGGGCCTGGGCTGGTTCAACCGGGCCAAACGGGCCCCAACGGCTATTTTTAAAAAGTGCCAACGGTCAGATTTTTAAAATCTAGCCGTTCGGCTTTAATTTTCAGCCGTTTGGAACTTTAAAAAATAGCCATTTGGCCCTCAAATTTTATTTTAACCCCAAACTTTTTATAATTACACTTTTTCCCTATTCTCAACTATAAATATCCCCTCATTCTTTCATTTTTACTCACAAATTCATCAATCTCTCTCAATCTCTCTCTAATTTTCTTCTATAATTGCTTACTTTATTATTGCAATTTCGTGAAAAATTGTGAAGTTGGTGAATTGAAGTATTCAAGTCTTCAATGATATTCAATTTTCAAGAAGTTGTTCGTCAATTCGGTAAACTCGTTCCAACTCTTAAGTTTTAATATTATAATTTTGTTTGTTTTAGTTTGTATAATTATAATTAATATGGCATTTTCTTTGAAAAAATGTTTGATGGTAAGGGAAAATCTAAAATTGGTGAATCTAGTCGCCAAGATACTACTCTTCCCCCGGCTCCCCGACCCAGACCTGTTACCCGTCCTCCTCCACCTGTTATTCTTGATAGTGATAACACTTGTTTTCAATTTTCCGATAGTCAATTTTGCCATGATGTTGCACCAGGTCAACAATTAAATGAAGAAGTTATGAATGCTCTTTATCCTAATCAAACTATCTTTGAAAATGATGAGGAAAATGATGATTTAGATGAAACGCAACCGGATTTAGATGATACACCTACTAGTCCTGTTAATAACCCAACTGATGCCCCGCTTGACCCTCCTGTAGTAACCCCTACTTTTAATAGACAACGCTCTAAACGCCCCGAAACATCGCTTGGTTGAAACTTTTTTACTCAATTAAGAGAACAAAATAAGGCTAAGTGTAAAACTTGTGGGTCTTTGATGACTCATAAATATACTGGAGACCGTAGCGGTACGGGTACTTTGACTAGACACATATTGAAATACCCTAGAGATAAAGCTATATATTTACAAATGAAAGCTGCGCAAGAGGGGACAAGTGTAGATACTACGGTTAACCCTAGTACAGGGTCAAATCTAGTTCAACCGGGAATTAACA